TTGCAAATAAGAGAGAAGAATAGTTTTGCCGAGCTTCAGTTGATTACTACTCTATTTTAATTCCTCTGTGAAAAGTGAAACATGTAGGGATGAAAAAAAATGTAACTATATGTCGATGATGAAACGAATCGTGTATCTTGAATCGAACAATGTTTGAATACTTTATTGACGTGTGAGAATCGCAATATTGACTCAACCTCTTTGAAAATGAGAGAGAAGAATAGTTTTGCCGAGCTTCCGTTGATTGCGACTCTATTTTATTTCGTCTGTGCGAAGTGAAAGGAGAAGGATTGGAAAATTTGGATCATACATGGATGACGAAGGTATCGTTTTTTTTTGTTTCCGAGATAAGAATGAGTTAAACGTCACTGGAAGGGGGAAAAGCGAATCCTGTAGATTCTAATTGATTGTGGTGGGTACTGTGAATCCTAATTGATCCTGGTGGATTCTGATGGATCCTGATGAATCCTAGTGGATTCTGATGGATGGTAGTGGATTTTGATAGATTCTAGTGATTCTTGATGTCCAGGTTGAAGATTCTGGTCACCGGATCCTGGAGACAAGATGCCGAAAAATCCACCGTATCCTGCCGGAAAATTTTCGGATTGTTTGCGGTGACTTCCGGATAACTTCACGCAGGAAATGGGATGACTTTGATCGGAAGTCACCGGAAAAAATCCGAAAGCTTTTCGGCTGGACTACTGCCACGTTGTTTCGGCGACTTCCGGTGTTTTTCTACAGGAACCAGCTCGTACTTCTCGACCTGGGTAAATCCTAGTGGATCGTTATGGATTCTAGGATCCATTAGGATCCGCTTTTTCTCCCTTACGTCACTGACCCTTCACCATCGGTAATTTTCATTTAATTTGCCATAGAAGCGAGGCGGACGACTGTCATCATGATGTAGTATAGTATTCAAAGAACAGAATCTCGATGCATTGTGTGATTTTCGCGGTAATCAAAGTAAAAATGATTTTGAAAGACAAGGAAACCTAAAATGGATGTCGCAGTTCATGTAATGCTAACAGATATTAGTGCTATTCATGGCTGGATGCAATGTTAAAGAAGATAAGCCTTATATGCAATACGAGAAAACGAAGTAGTCTTGTGCTTTTTTTGAGCAACGAGGACACCTGGGCTTCACTCAAATAACTTCGAAGCCATCAGAAGATAGGTCTTAATGAGTAATGACGCGTTAATAATATACAGTAAGTGATAGTATATCGCCGATGTATATCATGGTTTTTGATGATCTCTGGATGGTATTTGCCATGGACTAACGTGGTCTTTACCAACAGTCTCCCATACGTTGTGATGATCTCTATCTAAAGTTTGTACCATCCTAGCACGTTCTCACAAAGTATCTGTTAATTTCATTCTGGTCTACCATAGTCATTACCGAAATGTCTGTTACGCTCTACGATGGTCGTCAACTGCGGCTAGAGACTGCGAGTGAAAGCCGGTGTCTGTAGTGGCTCCCAGCTAGTGTCCAATATGGCGTGCAATGATCTATAGCGTTAGCTGTCACTGTCTGTGCTAGTCATTAGCTACAGTTCTTCAGGCGTGACTTGCTCACTCACTAAAGCTTGTCATGTCCTATCATAGTCTCTAGCGACCGTCTCCAACGTCTTAAGATGCTCTCTGGCTAAAGCCCGATATGATTTTCACAATCGCTAGCTATCGTTCATCACGATTTTGGTGCTCCCCGCCTAAGGTTTTTCCTCGCTTATCATGCTCTCAACAGGTCATCTGTCATGCATTGAGATGTCGCCTCGCAAAAGCTTGATATGGCATATCATGACATCTGGCTATCATTCATCATGCTATTTGTCCCCTAGCTAAGCTTCAACGTGGGTTATAATGTTTTTTTGCTGTCATGTGCCACTGGATATCATGCTTTGTAGCTACCGACCTCCACGCTCTGTTATGTCCTCCAGTTACATCTGAGGACGCTTTGAAAGATGGAAGTGTGTGGCATAGGGCAAATTTTCCCTTTTGTCCTTGAAAAGATAGTGAATGAGGTAAAAAGGTCGCTTCGGATTTTTATTGTACAATTTATAAAAATTTATTTTTAACCTACGTGTAAAAAGTCTTTGCACAAAATATATCTTCAATTTTCTTTTACTTAAAGGTTGGAAGAGACAATCAAAAGTAGTCAGCTAGAATGGGAATTTTATGCTCTTTGTAAGTGCATATTCAGAATTTTATTCCGACTTAAAGTTGATTCGAGAAGAGCAAATTTTCGGAGGGAACCAAAAACGACGTTTGTACGGAATCTGTTATGCAGTGCACACTAAGTTAAAATATGTCGCATGTGTTGTGATTTACGACACAACGCACGACACATTAAAGCATGACATGAGGTGCTCGTTGCGACACATTTAGTATGACACATGCGACACATTTTTTATTGGTTCTTCGGAAAAAGCATGTTATGAATTTTTTTCAATTTAATCCCCCCATGTAAAAAAACAGCTTAAAAATCTGATTTAAATCGATTTTTCGGAGAATAATCGGTAAAAATTGATTAAAAGCAGCAATTTCGATAAAATATGTCTAAAAAATCGATTATAATCGATTGAACATAGCTAAAAATCGATTAAAATCGATTTTTGTTAAAAATTCCAAAATAATCGGTTAAAAATCTAACCAATTTTAATCGACCAACGCTAGTAATCGATTTTAATCGGCTATAAGTAAGAGTCGATTAAAATCAGTTAATTTTATAAAATCTGAGATAATCGATTAAAAATCGAACCGATTTAAATCAACTAATGATAGTAATCGATTAAAATCGGTTACTTTTAAAAACATCAAAATAATCGAGATTTTTTTTCGAAAATCCGGAATAATCGTTGACTATGAAAGAGAATATGAAAGGATTGTTGATATATATGGGGTGAAAATTTTTAGCGTGATCCTCGCCTCCTCCCGCCCTCCCACACCCGAAATATGGGAAATTGGGTTTGTATCCATCATGAACCGTGTAAAAAAAGGCTTAAGATTCAATGCAGATCGTGAGATCCGTCTTCAAAAAACTCTCAGAAAGCATGTATAAGTAACATTTTACTGTAATAATTCTTGAGTACTGACTTTTTGAAATTCTTTGGCTCAAAGAGAAGAATGACAAGGAAATATGTCCTAATATGGACGAAAATGTCAGGTTGCATGAAGTAACTGAGAATTGGTTTGGATGTTTCATATTCTAGTTCTATAGCGATTACTCTAATTACTTTTTCAAGAAACACAAATTGTCGATTAATACTGCAGTCAATTTTAATCGATTAATCTCTCGATTTAACAGATTTTAACCGATTAATGTGGGTTTTAATCGATTAATATGGAATTTAATTGATTTTAACCGATTATTCTGGATTTTAATCGATTTTAATCGATTACTTATGCAATTGCGCAATCTCAATTGATTCAGTTTCTATAGGAGTTCCAATTTTACTATACATGTCAGGCACTAGCTTGGCGACAGCCTAAAGGTTTCTTGCCAAGGAGAATTCAGAAAAATTATGGGAAAACTAGGGTTTCGCGTGCGAATCTTGGTAAAAGCGCCTATTTTCGAAGCAAATGTTTAAAATCGATTATCCGGTAAGTGAAGATTAAAATCAGACAACAGGTAAAAATGTATTGAAATCGGAAAACAGGTAAGCGAGATTAAAATCGGAGAATAAGTAATAGCGGGTTAAAATTGGAAAACAGGTAAAGATAGGTTAAGGGGGAACCCACCCTCAGAAACCTATCTTCTA